TTTTGAACCATCTCTTACTGTATAAATAGTGTAAACAAAATAGGCTTTATATTCAAAACATTTACTGTAGGTCCTTATGTCCGGGGCGGAGTGGTGGCTCTGTGGCTCAGGATCTGTGCCTGTGGCTGGAAGGTTGCTGGTTTGTATCCCGCGGCTGGCAGAGGAATCCTACTCCATTGGGCCCCTGAGCAAGGCCCTGAACCCCAGCTGCTCCAGGGGTGCCGTATAAATGGCTGACCCTGCGCTCTGACCCCAGGCTTTTCTCCCTGTCTGTGTCTCATGGAGAGAAGCTGGGGTCTGTGAAAAGACAAATTCCTAATACAAGAAATTGTATATGGACAATAAAGTGATCTTATCTTAAGTCAGTGTTGCCTTCTGTTTTATAATAAAACCTTATTTTCTTTGGTTTTCTTCTCCAGGGTAGCTGACCAGCAAGCATGGCAGAAGCTCATCAGGCCGTGGCCTTCCAGTTCACCGTCACCCCAGATGGCATCGACCTGCGGCTCAGCCACGAGGCCCTGCGGCAGATCTACCTGTCGGGGCTGCACTCCTGGAAGAAGAAGTTCATCAGATTTAAGGTGCGTCTGGAGGAGATATTCATAGCCATGCAGGTGGCTTGAGCAGAATGGCGGAAAGATAGCTTTTAGAGATGTTACCCTGAAAGGGCCGACCTGAAGAGAGCAGAGGAAACTTTGCACTGGAGCAGAAAGCTTTCGAGACCAGATCACAGATAATCTCTGAACTGGCTTCATCGCTCGGCTCTCCTCCCCACTGAGAGCTGGTGTGTGGGGAGCGTGGTCTGGCGCACTCTGGCTGCTGTCACATCATCCAGGTGGGGTCTGGTGGATGGGATCCCCATTACCTGTAAAGCGCTTTGAGTGGAGTGTCCAGAAAAGCGCTATATTATTATAATCTGGTAGAGGCCCCGTGACTTGGTCTGGATGGTTTCTTTATGTGAAAAGAAGGAGGTGAAACTGGTTTATATCAATGTCAGCGTTTTTATGGCCATTTTCCATATAGTATGTCACACGATGCATGTTTTTTATTACATCTCTCTTACGATTTAATATGTATCTCACAGGTTCACAGTGTTGAATAATGATGGTTTTGGAGAGGACCGGCTTTGTTTGTGATCACCCAGATCTTGATTTTAACTTTGAATTTCAGTTTCTTGTGTACTGGAGTGCCCTTCAGGGATTCAGTGCTTGCTGTGTGTGTTCCCCCTGCAGAATGGCATCATGACTGGGGTCTATCCAGGCACCCCCACAAGCTTGCTGGTGGTTGTGGTGGGGTACATGTCCACAACATCATA